GACGTGGAAATATCACCGGAATTGATTTCAAACTACCTGTAATACTATTTGTTTGGCAGGTAATTTCCATTAATTCATCACTCTTAGAAATTAGGTGTGTTCTGAACTTACATCAGATGTGACAGGGACACAGTAAAAAATGGACCCCTAATTTCTGGAATTACCCACATATGTATGCGTAATCTTCCATTTTTACTTGTTTTTTTCAGTCGTTGATGTACCAAATTATTCAGAAATTCTTTGAACAAAATGCACCCACAGCTCCTGTTTAATTGGCTGTGTGCACAGATAAAATACACATTTCAAGTAAACCGCACACTTCCTCATGTTAAATGTAACTCAGCCATTCATTAGTCATTGAATAACCAAAAAATATTTGATATTGAAATTAATAGATTTATCCAGTAACCTTCACATTTATAGCAGCGTTTCACCAGTGGCTATAAATTCTGTTTGTAGAACACTTCAAGGCAGTTTAACTTTTACGTTTGAATCACCACATGGGCTTTAATTGGAATGAAAACGACCGATTGTACATGAAAAGGAATGAGCCAGGTACATCAGTTTTTGTCCATACACAGGAACTGAAACAGAAATTGCCCCATGGTCTCGCTCCGTTTATGGCCGGCTTGAATAACCAGAACAGGCTTTAGAGTGTTCATAAAAATTTACAACCAGTGTGGAAATATTGCGAACATGACCCCCGATCCTCCTTTGTGTTGCATAAAAATTGCACAGCGTGCGTATGATATGACGACATGAATGTGACGATTGCTCACACCTTGATTGGAATTGTTCTTGCAGCTGGGAGATATTGACATAGATCTTCCAACTACATTGGCGCCCTCGGTCTTTCCAGTCATTTCACAGTACTCGCAGTCTGCTTGCTGTTTTACATACACCACAGTGCCTTCAATCCCCTTAATCTTAGCAGAGTTTTAGCACCCTGGGGTTATTTTTATGAAAAATTAGCTCCTTTTTTAGGTAAAGGTTGGACCACAGGAGGGGTGGGGGAGATGCAATACCGGTACATACATGCATAATTATATGTTGTCAATCAGCACTTTCAAAGAAAATTGAATTTGGATTTAAACCTGTGACCATCAGAAGCCTGCACTGCTGCTGTGCCAACTGTGGCCATACTTCAGTTGAACAGGGAAAGTTGACAGGATTTGGATTCGAACCTTCAATTTCTGGAACCCTGTACCAAACCGAGCTGTTCTACCCTGTGCTGGCATCCTGCTCGTTGTTCGTTGCTGGAGTAACTGTTTATGTTGTGTGTATGTTTTTGGGAGTTGGATGATGTTCAGTAGTCATTAGTTAACCACTTGCTACCGGGGAGCCCAGTTTTGGACACATATTCGTTATATGCACAGCCGGGTGCCCGGTGTGTGGTATTCAGTGCGGGCAGATTACAACCGGGGATAAAAGCACTCCACTGCTGCAGTGATGAGCCATACAGTACCGCTGCACTCTAATCTGGTCCCTATTGAAAAGATGTCAGCACAGCACTGTGCCAGTTTCAGGAACAAAAGAAACTTATGTAACACCGCACAATCTAGGCTCTTTTTACCAGGCGGCAGGCCTGGCTGAAATACTCCGGTGTCAATAGATGTTGTCTGTTAGATCAGAGCAGCCACCAGACAGTCATTCATGTGGGTGTAAGTGACCAGTAAATGAAGATATGAATTATTAAAGAATTTTGAAAACAGAAAGAAATGAAAAATAATCCGGCCTAGCAGAATCTACATTTATAAATGTCCCCGGCCCGAAGTGGTTAATTAAACATTTACTCATCCTGATGCCGGTGGAACATCCAAAACCATGCTACATACTTACATGTACACATGTGCTACATACCCGTATCTACACGTATGCAAGGGAAGTAATAGGAATTACTGATCCCGAGGTGTAGGTCAGCTTGACTACCTCCCGACACGAAGCGGAGGGAGGTAGTCAAGGGGACCAGTAATTGCCACAATTTTCCCGAAATAAACCATGCTGTATTTGTTTTACTACATTTCATAAATATTCAAACAGAAATCTCACGTTACTTGTACTCACAGACGCCATTGTTGTTTCTCAGCTGCTGAATTTCCATGTTATGATAGTGGAGTGCGGATATGTGCAGAAACAGGGCTTCAATAGTCTGGTGCTTACATACGTTTTGGGTCTTTACTGAAATAGCTATTGGGATACAACACAAGAATGGTTCCGTAAAGATTACATGACACAGACCACATATTTACGCGGCAGTTTCCAGAGGGATTTTTTTATACTACCAGAAAAAACTACCGCATGGCAGCGAGGTGGATACTCACCGCTATGATGTCACCTGGTTGCGTATCATTTCTACTTCCCAGACGCGAGGTGGAATCGGCCAATGACGCACGCCGATTTGCTCATGAGTATTTATGAGGTGTAGCAACTGATAAAACATACCAGCTTAACAATCTCGTCTAATAGTACCCGCTGCTTAGACATGATTGGGACCGGCCAGCTGACCACAGCAAGCTCGATGGTCGAGCGGTTAAGACGTCTGCACTAGTAAGCAGGAGGTCGTGGGTTCGAGTCCCACCCGAGTAAGCTTGTGAAATTTTTCGCAAGCTCTCGGAAATGCACTGAGCATACAGTGTTTATCAATATATATGTTGGGTAAGGGCAAAACCCGTTATATAAATCTTGTCTAAGCCCAGAAATAGCTTCATCTTACAGTATTTTGTTCTAGTTTGATTTACATATCACCAGTAAAGGCTGGCTAATTTAATTCTTAATCAATTTAAATGCAATATTTGTAAGGCTTTCAGGTTTTTCCTTCTTGATCCAAAAAGAAAAACCAACAAGTTCCATCAAGAGAAAGTTATAAATGTGTACTTTTTCATGTAATCAAAATGTTGCCTGTACCAAAATTTTGTTTCTCTGACAAAAACCTGAATATTGGTAATTCCAGAAATCAGGGGTCCATTTATTGTGTGTCCCTCTCACACCTGATATTTAATTTTGTAAGTTCAGAACACATTTTCGAATTTCCAAGAGTGATGAATTAATGCAAATTACCTGCCAAACAAATAGTAATAGTTTGAAATCAATTCTGGTGATATTTCCATGTCATATAACAAAGGTCAGATTAACAGGGACACGAAAATGTCACACTTTTGGACCCCCGATTTCTGGAATTGCCCACATCAGAACAAGTCTCAGAATGTGGGAATATTACAGGAAGACAGGGCCGAGCGTGTGATTAACATTAACATGTGTGTGGGATTGATGGAGATGTTCTGATTGCTGCATGTACATGTGCACATACATGTACACCATTACATCTAGTCTACCTGCACCGTTACACATGTTTACATTTACCTTGACCTCCACTGTGGAAATATACTCGGGGAAACTACATGTACATGTACCTGTATACATGTACATGTGAGGTTTGAAAGATGGATACTCTTTTCACATGCACACACACATGAACACGTACATTTGCACATGTACCGGTACGTAAAGTGCAGTATCCACATTCCTTATCCCACGGGGAAATATTATTGAACATTTATACAAAACCCTCTCAGAAAAGGACATGCGATCCCGATAATGGTGGTATTATGCAAACTCCTGTGTTGGTTGGGTACATATCCATCTGGAGACGTGATGCCTGACTGTACATGTAGCGAGCCTACCAGTACATAACATAGGCCAGCCCAAAACCTTGGAGTGATTATTCACTTTACATAGATTCTGTCTGAGCCGTCTGCATCTAAATGTCATCCAAACATGCAGCAGGCATTTATATTAAAATTTCTACCTCACAGAGTCTTGAATATTGGTTTCTTCAAAAAAACTACCAGAAATTGAAAAAAAAAATCAAAAAAATTGATTCTTTACAAGTGCATACATGTATAAGCCCAATGTCGTAACAGTGGCTTGTCTAGTTCCGGATTGAGCATTTTCACTCGCAAACAGTTGTTTGATTTTTGGTGGATCCACATGTGGGAGATATAAGGTTGAAGCCTGTCAGTTTAAATGCATTCATCATGAATATTAACACCTTCAATGTACATTATGTACATGTACACGGTTATTGAAACACAAAATCTACTGTCACATGAGAGTAATATTTAAAATGGGAATCACAAATCATTGCTATTCCTTTTCGTCTTTAGAATCTTGTTAATTCCTCTCTAGGTTTGTAGTGTCCTGTTTCTGTTTTGTCCCATACATGTGTATTAGGAGTTTTGCCCCAAGCAAATTAAGACTGATCAAAATTCACAGCTTAGGGCAGCCGATAATCCGATAGCTAATAATCAACACGATGTTCAGATTTTGCACTGGAAAGTCAGGACTAAGCTCCCAGTTTGTGCTGGGAGTTAAAAAAAAAAGATACTTGAACGAATGTGTACATCCACATTCGTGTAATCATTTCAACACCTCTCGAGCCCCTCTTCATCCCTAGACTTTCGTAGTTGCCCAAACTCTCAGAACAGCTAGAGAGGTTCAGACAGATCAAATCCACTGTGCAAAGTCAGCGACAGTTTGACGTCAACCGTCAGCTCTCAATTGTGCCTGGAGTTTCAGCAAGTCTTTCGATCCAAACTCCCTCAGTCTTTTTTGCTAGGATGCAACCTGGATCCTGCTAAATCCTCCCACTGCCTGTGAAACCGATGCAGTCCCGTTCCTCCATTAAAAGATGTGTCCCTTGGAGGGATGACCGCGGTAATTCTTTGAAATCCTCTTCCCGCCGGTAGTATTGTTAAGGCATTGGGAATGGAGCAATGTGAATGGTGTCCACTGTAATCTACATTAGGCCTTCACCTCATGCATGGCTGAGCAACACAGCGTTTAGCCCAAGACCTGGATACAATACATCCTTTGAAATCAGCCTGATATTTTTTTCCCTATACAACCTCAGTCCTCCCATTTTCTCCACTTTTGAGGACTTCGGAAAGTTCTAACAGGATCTAATTAAGTAATCCCTGCTTTGATTCCCTCTCGACCCCCAGAGGCGGCCAGCTGCTCCATCGCCGAGTACCTGGAGATCAAGTCCACGGCCGAGAGCAGCAACGGCTGGATGCTGCTGTCCACCCTCAACCTGCTGGCGGGCGGCGGCCAGAGCATCGTCAACACCATGATGATGGCGGCCCTGCCCTCCACCCTGGTCAAGTGTCTCTACCTCTTCTTTGACCTGCCGGAGATCTCCATGAAGAACGAGGGGGGTGGCGAGGGGATGAGGAAGGAGGAGAGCTCAGGAGAGACAATCACCCCTGCCAAGAGGAGGGAGCTGCTCCACAAATATGTCGTGCAGGTGGGTGGCATTTGTGGAATAGTTTTTTGGAAGAATGAGCTGTATCTGTAAATCTGTGAGTGTGATTTGAACAATCAGGAGACTGATTTATTAAAATATGTAAGTCAATCATTGCTTTGTCACTCGACTCTGGCCAGTTGCCGGTGCTGATGACAGTTTTAATGTAAATGGTTGTGGGATTCCTGGAAGTTGTCCCATACCTGGGGATATCTCCCTAGTATGTATTAAATGTAGGTACAGTTCACTAGTGTTTCATCATTGGAAGTGAAAGTTCAAATGGGGGACATGACAGTTCTTCCTCATCATTCAAACCCAGTGTTCATTTTGCTTTACTTTCAATTCTGTACATTTCTGAACTTCCCCTTGCATACAGTCTGTTGTGGCTTCTGAGTATGTGTTTGTGATGCCCCTCTGTTTTCTGCAACTTTGGCTCAGTTGAGTAAAAAACACGGTCACTTGAAGTGGCCTGATCAAGTTTAAAATCTGGAATAATACATGTAGCACATGTAGATACAGTACCTGTACTTGTACGTGTACGTTACCACCAGCAGTGGAGACATCAAAGGTCTCAGTCCCACTGTAGTCTGGCAGTTGTGGTCTTGAGGGCACTAGCAAGGACAGATACCTGTATGTAGATCCCTGACAGCATTAGGAATGACAAAGGTTAAAGAAGATGCGAAAATAAAACAAACTCAGTTTACTTGTAAAAGTTTGTGAGCAATATTGAAACCTTCACTGCTGTTTATGTTCACATTCAGAGAATGTGTATTCGTCTGTCTTGCGATACCACGCATGCAGCTTAAAGAACTGTGCTTTTCCTCTGCATACATTAAACATACCGTACCAAGTACATCTGTACATTGTGCATGTACAGTACGTGTGTACTTGGAACCGCTGTGTCGCTGTCATTGACAATTTTCTGGTAATCGGTATTCTTGGCTGGAGTAATGGACAACTACATCCATGAATTGATTGGAATTAACCAGTTTGCAAACAATTTGATCACATGTACATGTACGTGTATAGATATGTATGTACTGGTAGGTTAAAGGTGAGGCCCATCATTCGTTTGAGGCTACACAGGCGCTCAAAACCTTAAAAAGTGACTTACAACTAACCCTGTGAAGTTTAAGTTCAGTGAATGCTGTATATTCTTGGAAAAACAATATTCTTGGATCTTATTTTCAAATCCAAAGTTGTAGAGTTATGCTTTGAATAGAGCCCAAATTGAGCGTCTGGGACACATTCTTATTGACCCGATTGCAGCAACCGGTACTTGCTGCCTAATGCTGTGTACATGAATTATAGGAATCATGCACGACGTGAGTCAAGCCAGTGCTTCTGCACACTTTTCCGAATCAGAAACCAACCACTGACAGCGATTTCCAAAAATGCATCTTTAGACACATCTTTGGGATGGCCTATCATTGCTTTCTTCAAAATGATGGTCTGCCTAAAAGAATTATTTCACAGGGAGCTTAGGCCCATAACTATCTCTGAACCAAGCGTGCTGGGCAACAGTAATTTTGTCAGAGGACTGCTGCAAATGTACCTTCAAGTCAGCCATCACAAAAGTTGCATTTTGGCACAACATTTGATGTACAGTGATCTGACTGGCACATAGCATACGTTCTAATCAGACACTTTGTCGCATCTGAAAACGTGATTCCCCTTTTTATATTATTCTTACAAATTTAATGGCAAACTGTTTCCCATGTCCCAGAGGAGTGTATAAGTAATTGGCACAAACATAGGACCTCAAATAAATTTTATGTAGTTAACCTGCTCTCACACAATGGCATGAATGTCACTTTTTTATTCAGTATAGCGATGATGTATACTGGAGGCATACATGTATGTACATGTACATGTATATTGATTTTATACAAGTCGTGGAAAAAACTCAAAATCTGGAAAGTACATATATGTACATGTAACTCAAATTCCCCAAACAGGGCTGTAAAAATAATTTAACGAAAGTAAGGGGCTCTCGGACATGAAACTTTTTTTTTCCAGACGATTTCCTTGTTTGTTCCTTCCATTGTATGCCATTACCGAATAAAAACAAATTGTGCTATGTCTTCTCCAGCTTGGAATTTCCTCTGTTTTCTGACTGTTCTGTCACATGCCTGCACAAACAATACACTAGAAACAATCAGAATTGAGATTCACGAGAGAATGAAAATGGAAGTTTCGTATCAAGCGAACTTTAAGTTAATTGACAGCCTCAATCGTTCGGTGGTGTGATGAGTCAGATGAGTGAAAAGACAGCCCAACTTTCATTTTGCGAGAGTGAGTCACCTTGCCAAGCCCCTGGACATCCACAGATTTCAAGTGCATCATGCAGCCAGCTTGATATGGCTGAAGATTCCTGTTTTGATTCAGTTCATTTTGTGGTGTGAAGGATTTTTTATCATCTTGGGGCAATTGCGCCGGAGCTCCGAAGGCTAGAAATAACCTACTGAGGGAAAGAGGATTAAAACATTCTCATTTAAGTAGGAAAAAAGAGAAGATGAAACAAGATGGGTGTCTGGGAAACTCGCAGAATTAGAGAGGGATCGTAGAGCTAATGCTGCAATGGGTGGAAATCAAACCGGGGTCAGAGACTTGGAAAGCTTGAAGTGCTGGCCTGGCGTTAGGGTTTATAGCTTCTGGTCACGGGGGTTAGGGATTGGAATCATAGCAGCGAGTTACATGCTGTGACATTGGGCAGGTCATTTGACCCTTGCGCGCTTCTCTTCACCAAGGAGTAAGTGGGCACTACCTGCCAGGGCAGATATGGTTATTATGTTTTGCTTTTTGTCAAATTGTGCCTGAAATGGCAACATCGGGGCTAGCATACCTGCCTTGGAGCTGAGACGGTCTTAGGAATGCTCAGGTGTTGTGAGCCAAATAAGGATAATGATAATTTATCAGCACCCTTGTCTGACAGATGCTGTCAGATATTGTGCACTTAACAAATGCTTTAATGATATTGTTTGCATTATTCTTTTGTTTTGCACTCAGCTCCTCGTCAAACTCTGCAACTACCCAGGCCCGGCTGACGAGCTGGCCAAGAAGGACGACTTGACCCTCCTCTTCAGCGCTATCACCAGCTGGTGTCCCCCTCACAACAGCCCCTGGAGGAAGGGGGCCGCCGAGGTGCTGACTACCATCTCCCGGCATGGGCTGACTCAGGACGTGGTGCAGTACATACACAGTGAGTTTGCTCCTCTATTCACAGAGGACATTAATTGGACAATGGCAGAGGACGGTCAGTCCAGGATTGAATATGTGGGGGTTCCCTTATTGGAAAACTTGTGTACAAGTCCAATGGGATTCCTTTGAAAAAAGTTGAAGACCAAACCAAAGGAGGATAACGGGATGTCCAAAATTGCATTCATAACATTTACGCACTTGGATGAGTTCCTCCAATCCCCTGACACCAAAAGAAAATATCTCGAAATGGTAAATAAGACAGGTGTTTCCTTCTTCAGTGGTAGTCAGTGTGTTGTCCTCAATGGTAAGTGCCTGTGCTTCGTCTATGGGAGATTGTTACATCGCAGAAACAATAGGAAATGCAGTGCCCTTTCCTCAGTGGCATAGCAAAACACCACTCTGTGGAAGCATTCATGTACACGTAGAGTGCATGTATGTACAGTGTACGTACTGTGCATGTTCCCATTTCATACACTATACTCCCAGTCTTCAGAAATGGAAAAGGTACGTGTACTCTTCCAACTCACCGCCAATAGGGACATGTCCATGTGCTGTCAAGAGTTTATGAAATTGCTCCTCACAAAGTACCAGTATAATGAAAGCCAGAATGACATTTGTATAAATAACCTACACGTTCAAGATATGAGGACTTAGAAAACACCTGCGAAAGGAGCTGTAGCCTAAATTGGAAATATGAGTACGTCTGATAGAATTCGTCACTAAATGGAAGTTTTGATCACTTGAGTTCATACATGTACATGTATGTCTCCAGAAATTTCCACCTGCCTCCGAGAAGGAATGGCAGAATGTACACTGTAAATGTTCACAATTTCAGTTACTTTCCAATGTGCAAGTTCTCATTCGCTTTTCCCATTAGAGATTTGACGTTCATGTGTGCAGCTGGACATCTGTCCTAAAACTCAAGGTGCTTTTTGATCTTAGTCACAAAAAAGTAAAGGGTCAGATGTCAGTTTCAACACTTAGCGGCACGTGCACATCAGTATGTTTAAATAGTAGGCTAAATTGTGAAAAACCTTGTGGTTTACTGACTGTTCTCCGATGGTTGTCAGATTTTGCCTGATGGAGGATCACGTTGTGTTACTCTTGATGCTCACGCAAATGGAAAACATTTACTTCCTCGATATAACCACAAGGTGCAAGAGTATATCCTTGGCCTGATAAAAAGCACATCGTCTGGCTTACATGTACTTGTGGGTCAGCTGTGTGCTCAGGAGTGTAACATAGTCAGACAGAGAGGCTTGTTCCAAAGAATGAATGTTTTATCTGTGACTTTTATTGAATGAGTTTGGACTGGAAAGGTTCTAGTACGAAGTGGTACAAGAAGCATCAACTGTGTTTGAGGATGCAGTGAGAAACCTATTGCATACAGGAGTGGTGGCCAAAAATCCTCACGATTTTTACCGTGATGGATTTATGTCTGAAATTTTCTTCACATCGCTGTGAAACAACGGGAAATGGCCTTTGGATCAGACATGGACGTTTTTTGCACCCAACATATCGCTGCCCCGTAGCCAGATCAACAAGATATATACCAATCAACTTCCCGGGGAATTCATCCGCAAGATTTCTCTCCGGTCTTTCCTCTCAAGATCTTCCCAATCTCAGGCGCGCATCTTGAGAAGATTATTATTCTTTTTTATCTTGGCGTCTTCTCTTGTCTCCCAAGGGGCCGCTTTGCGCTCTGACATCATGAATCAACTTCATCCTGGAGAGATCTCTCTTCAGGAGGTTTTTGAAGGAGATCTCGCTGAGCTCAAAAGTCGATGTATGATTGAAATGATGCCATTATTGGCAAAAATGCCCGGTGGCAGATGACATACTGCATTCAACATGACATTTCTCTTATTTTCTTCTTATTTTCATCTGTGCTTTCCTTTTTTTCCCCCAGGAATTAATATTTTCCATCTGTGTCGTGTGGATTTATTGAAACTAACTGGCGTGTATTTTTTTTTTACCAACACTAGGTATAAATTGTCTCTGCTGTTGTTGCTGTATATTGTATTTTTTGCTGCTGTGTCAAAGGTCATGGTAATGGGTGTGTCCAGGTACGTGTACTGTTCACCATGGTTACTCGGGTTACAAAGTTCTTCTGATGTTGACTGGGATTTGATGCCCATTTTAAACGTGCAGGATTTCCCATCACATCCCGGTTTGTAATTTCCTGCGGGTGTACGGAATCCATTCCAAACGGCTAGGCAGAAATGTCACGCGGAATTAGCTTGCCTAAGTGAAAACCACACAGGAATCAATCACATGCACCACACATGGACATGTACAACATAAGCATCCTGACCTTTTTTTGGGCTAATGACGTCTTCTCTGAACAAGTGTACCGTGCCAGCAGCTCTTGACATATAAACTGAGTTCCTCCAAGCACATGAATCATGAATTGACTTCAAACATCAAACTTTCAAGTGTAGTTCTTGTCAATCTGCTCTTCCAAAGATAAAGAAAATACATTAGACTTTGAAATCTGTCATCAAAAGTCTTCACATTATAAGCTTCGAGACAACATAGTATTAATAACAAGTCATTCATTCGCACTGTATAGATTTCAGGCTATTATGTTCAGATGTCCCGTGCAGCAAAAGACTAAACCACAGCGTGGTCAAGCCAAAGCCACATACACTGTAATGTGCCTCGGGCAGCCACTAAACAACCCACATCTGCCCATGGAGCACAGCTAGAGATCACAAGAGTTGACTTTTTTTTTTTTGGTCTGGAGAGAGGAGGGGGTAAGGGAGTGCAGAGAAAACCCTTGTGGCATCATATGAAATGAAGGAATGACCCATGGCCTGGGAATCAAACCCAGGACCACAGTGGCAAGAGGAGAGGGCTTTAAACCTTAGCCACCTGTGCCACCCTAAACACAAACTGTAACAAAGGCGTTCTTTCATTATTTATCTCACTGTTAATAGTGACAGGACTCACCACTGTCGTACAGGTACATGTAGTAAAAACAATCAAGCCTGGTTTCCATATCGACGTAAGAAACACAGAGAGCAACGCAATCAAGATGCAAACTGCAACGTAGATATATGGAAACATGTCAAACGGAAGTATCACAGATAACCTGGAAATAACGCAAACCAGCCCCAGACGGATCGGCAAAGTTGAGTCGCCAAGTAGGCCTATACAAACACGCGTGCTGGTATGACAGGCGCACAACGATGTTTCTCTGGCTTAGTACCACTCAGTTTGTCCATTTTCTCCTTATTACTAGCATATGTAGCCCCAGTTGTCAACAAAATAGCTGATTTTAAAAAATTACTTCAAACAGGAGTTTGATGGCTTCAAGAGGCAACATTGCCACCAAAAAAAGGCATTTTTGGTGAAGAGTTTGTGAGTTTCGGACACCATTTTGTTAAATTTTTTGGTGGAATGACGTCTTGCAACATCTCGTCCGCGAGTGTCCACACTCTGCATTACAAATGACCATATGGAAACCAGGGGCTATAGAGCTGCTTAAGCACAAAATTTGCTTAAGCGCCAAAAACCTTACTTGATAAATCAGGTAACCAGCCAAAACTCTGTGTGATGTATATTGGTTTGAGATTATATTTAGCTGTTTTGTGGTTAGCATGACAATCGGATAGAGTTTGAGCTGGTAAACTTTGTTTAAGCAAAGTTTTTTCCCGCTTAACCCCTCGACGACGGAAACTTTTTTCTGAAAGCCGACTCCGATCATTCCAGCCTCGCTTGGCCACGAAGGCCACCTGCCAAACTGCAAATTCTCACGCTTCCACATTCCCGTTGCCTCTTTTCAAAGTGGGGACTATTGTGAAGCTGGTGATCATGATGCAAATTCAGTCTTTTCATTTCTGGGCTACACACAAAGGCCAATGACCATATATACAAGAGCCAGCGTCTGCCTTCTTTCACCGTGTTCGCTTCAGTGTGAGCTGAGAATAGTAGCTGAAAAGCAGGCTGAGGATCCCTCGCGAAGGGGTTAAGCAGATTTTGTGCTTAAGCAGCTCTATGAAATTGGCCCTTGCAGGCTTTAAAGGCACTTGTGAATTACCGGTACATGCACACAATCCCAACATATAATGATGTTTCTCTTTCATATGCAGATAAGGGATGTCTGGCTTTATGCGTGGACAACATGCAGCACGTGCAGGAACTGACACCCCTTGAAAAGGTGGAGATGTGCTTCACTGTCTTCTGTTTCCTCAAGGACTCCAGCGACAAGTCCAGAGTCTTGCTTGATGAGTTCCGATCTTGCCAGGGCTACATCTTCCTCGCCGACTTCGTTTTGAAGCAAGTCTTTTTTGATGTTTCCCCCTTTTCTGGGTGTTTTGTTTGTTGTTTTTTAATCAGCAAAATCCTATAGCGTATAATTTTTTTTTACTCATGAACTAAATACCTCGATTGCATTTCTTGAGATTTTTGTGCCCCTGGGCAATCCATTCGACCTGATTTATCAGTCTCCACTGCAGGTTTATGAAATTGTGGGGAATCGTTTTGGGGGTCGGGGAGTGTCTTCTCTGTAGGTTTTTTCTTGGGTCCTTTTTGTTTCTCCTGCTTGGCTTCTTGTCAACTCATTCAGGAGGTGGGAGGTGATTTCGCCCCCATCTGAGATGGATAAGACATGTTGTCAGTCACGACTCTGTCCTTCCCCTCAGGTTGGAGTCCATGGGCGACGAGGAGTCCATTCACTCGCTGAGGAACCTGGTCCTCCTCATCTCGTCGCTCACCCAGTGCGGCTACACCGAGCTGCGACCCAACTCGGGCATCTATGAGGCGCCATTCCAGGTTCAAGGGTTCACGCTTCCGCAGCCCAGTGGAAATGGTAAGTGGGGAGAGTGCAGGGAAACGGGTGAGCTTCCCAGAAATTGGAAATCATTCGCGTTCAGTTGCACTGGAATGCTAGCATTCCATTGTAACGTTCGTGCATCAGCGTGAACGGTGAGCTTTCGTGCCGAGACAGCATTCCGGGGGGCGCTGTGTTCCCAGCAGAATTTCTGCATGTTCTGGAATGAGAACACAGTGTTCCAAGTGGAGCTTCCAAGCTATTTCAAATTATGGGAGAGGTGTGAAGAGAGATAAATTTCCCATTTGTCCTGAATGTTTAAAGTTGTGAACCTCTAGAGCTGACTAAAGATGTGAAATCCTATCAGGATGGGCTCATGATTTTTTTTCCTCAAAAAGTCATATGGAAATGGAACATTTTAGTTTCACGGAGTTCCAGTCCTTTTTTTGTATAGATGCATCCAGACTGCAAGTTTCTAGTTTGTCCTCAGTGGCAGATATTATATGTGTGTACACTGAACTGCAAGGTGCAGAATCAAAAATTTATTGGCTGTTCTCACACGTGCTAACACCAGGAACACCTTCTTTTGTTCGAGGTACCTGCAGTTGGCCACGTCCGAATGGCATCCCCTGTCTTTAGCGTTCCTTTACAACAAAAGACCGGTCATGGCCTCTGCACACAGAAAGATCTCTGTGGCACTAAATGTATGCGAAGAAAAATGTGTGAAGGAGTGTTATTACTGACACCATAGATAGGAAAAAACTTCTGGCAAACAGCAGGTAAAATTAAAATGTTAGATTAAACCTTAGCAATATTCAACCTGGACGCGCTCTTCTGCATAACAATCCAGACACCATGCTGCCTCTCCTAATGTAATCTTGATTTAACACAATTTTTCTTAATTCTTTGAAGTAGAACACAGACCCAGCAGCACTACATTCCACAAAAATACCTTTTCAACAAATGATACACATTGTCTGAAGTCTGTAGGTGGGTTGTCTGTTAAAGTGTAGAAACATCTATCAGGAGTGTATTTCAAATAAATTCTCTGAGGAGCTTTCATCCAACCGGAGATTGACAACCGACCGACCGTCATGTATTAAAAATGTAAATTTCTCTAAGTAATGGGGCCAGCGTACATTTTTTAGCGGTTGCATCTTGAATTGACAAAGCTTGCCACCGCATATCTTTATCCAAACCTTGACCACGTGTGGCATTTATTTTTTCCTGCCCACTGCTAAACATTTTTCGTATTCCGAGCATCCAACCTGTCAATGAATTCTTCCCATCTCAACATTTCTTTGCTATCCAAACGTGAACCATGTGTGGTTTTTATTTTCAACTGCCCCGCCGCTAAATAATTTTTCCCCGCCACATTGCTAGATATTGTTTATTCTGAGCACGCAACCTGCCAAAAAAAGTATTAATTCTTCCTATCTAAGCATTTTGTGTATCCAAACCGTGACCATGTGTTTTTTTTTTCCCGACCCACCGCTAATTTTTTTTTTATTCTGAGCATCCTACCCGTCAAAAATCATTCTTCTACCTTAGAATTTCTTTATCCAAACCTAGACCACGTGTTGTTTTTATTTTTTCCCGGTCCACCACTAAATTTTTTTTTTAATTCCGAGCATCCAATCCACCAAAAGTTCTATTCCAGCCGGGATCAAGTGTGGTTTTATTCTCCACCCCACCACGAAATAAAATTAATCCCATCTCGGCATTCTCTATCCCAACCTGGACCCTCTTAGATTGAATCTTTTCCCTGCGCAACCACGTAATCATTATTTTTATTCCGAGCATCCAACCCGCCAAAACTATCAACCCTTCCCATATCAGCATTTCTTTTCTTTCCAAACCTGAACCTCTTGTGGTTTTTTAGTATTCCCCCACCCTATCCGTTAATCTTTTTTTCCCCAGCATCCAACCTGTCAATGTTCTTCTCATCTTTGTTGCGACGCTGGCGTTCTTGCATGCAAACATGACAATGCGTTCTCAGTGACTCATGTCTGAGAACGGTAAAGAAGACATTCCAAAATGCCATTTGGAGTGCAAAAGAACGGGAGGGCATGCAGAAAAGGAGGAAGGCTTGTGATTGGTCAATGTGTTTTTAATCTTGACCCTAGAAAGGCTTGGTACCGGTAGTTTTGTTGCTGAACATGGGGGGTACTAGGTGAATTGTCCAAATGTTGCCATGCTTGGGCAAACATTACCCAACTGCGATGATTTCTCACCTGGCATTTGTGCCAGCTTGTGTCATTTACCCAACATCTGAAGAGAACCAGTGATTCACCTGGTACTCTGCGTTGGGCAAACAAAATTGTACAGTGTCTGTGCATGCGGCCCAAGAACTGTCTCTAGTCGAATTCCGAGAAAATTCCATTGACAATGAGCAGTACACGCACCCTGGCCTTAACCCCAAAATTCACCACATCTGAAATTTGAATTTTGAAAAGCTTTTCAAAAACCCTTTTGTAATAAGTCAGACTCCTTGCATGATCTGTCACCATATAAAAAGACTTGTTTTGCAAGGTGATTTTTACTTAAATTTTTAAGTTTTACTTATTTTTACTTAATTTTTACTTAATCATAAGGGGCATATTTTAGAGGATGTTTTAACTGAGGTATTTTTATGCCTACAGGTAACAGTGTCAGGAATCTTCAGGCATTCCAAGTACTTCAGACAATATTTTTAAAGGTATGTTGTGTTGCTGGTATTGCACTGTTTGTTACTTCATGTAGCACCTGGTTGAATTTTGGCCCACCTGCTGATTTGGGCTCATTACACTTTAGTTCTTGACCACTTGTGCGGTACATTCCTCATCTTATTCCGGTCATCTGCCCACATGTTCATGGCAGCGACCTGTCCGTTGTGGGCACCTGTTCAGTATGACCAACTTTCCAGTAGGATCTTCTTGGCAAGGATAGCTGTACATTGCGTCCCTTTGTTGATTACAATCACCTCGATACAATCATGGTAGCCATGTGACTTCTGTAGCCATCAACACACTGGCCCTTCTGTCCTTTGTGGCTAACTGTTTACTGTGGCCACCTTTCCATTTGGCTTCCACTTTGTGGTGTGTTTCTTTATTGCCATTAATCAGTGAAGTCCACCTGCCATTTGTCAGTGATTGCCACCTGTCGGTTGGAGCCTCATGATCATTGTGGGGCCTCCAGTTTATGGCACTTTTTTGTTTGGCTATGTGCAAGTTACGTCTTTCCATTCACA